AAGGAAATTTTTCGGCAAATATATTTTTTAAATTACAGACACTTTAATGGGGAAAAAGTACTAAAACCTTAAAAGTACGCAAATGGGACGGAACCTATGTAGAAAATTTTCTGCTTAAATATATTTTATCCTACAGGAACCCAGAGATTGCAGCTAATATTGATCTATGTGCACACCTTTACCTAAATTCATAAATTTCAGCATACTTGTATGACAGCCTCCAAAACACCGCAATATGAAATTACAGTTACTTTGGTGAGAAAATGTGGCTGAACCCTGAAAATACAATTTTTATACCCTTCACCACACTGCGGTACAGGGTATTATGTCTTTGGGCATATGTTTGTAAAAGGCAAAAGGAATCGAGATAGGAATCTTTTTGAGAATATGCATAGAATCACTTTCTGAGTCGATTTATGCATGTCCGTCCGTCCGTCTGTTGATGTTAAATTGTAAACAAAGTACAGGTCGCATTTATAATACGATTTGGCTGAAATTTGGCACAGCTCATTTATTTGGCCCAAGAACGAACCCTATTGAAATTGAAAAATTGGTTCAGATTTAGATATAGCTCCCATATATATTTTTGTCCGATTTATGGACTTTAGTCCCTGAAAATCATTCGATTTACATAGCGCACTGAATTAAGTCTAAAATGATGTGTCTAAGTTTCGTGAAAATTGGTTCAGATTTAGATATAGCTCCCATATATAGTTTCGCCCGATTTTTGATAAATGGAGCACCAAAGTCCCTGAAAATCTTTCGATTTGCACGAATTTTGGCATAGCGTACAGAATTAAGTCTAAAATTAAGTGTGCTAAGTTTCGTGAAAATCGGTTCAGATTTATATATACCTTCCACATATAGTTTCGCCCGATTTTGGGTGAATGGAGCACCAAAGTATCTGAAAATCTTTCGATTGCACGAATTTTGGCATAGCGTACTGAATTAAGTCTAGAAAGACGTGTGCAAAGTTTCGTGGAAATCGGTTCGGATTAAGATATAGCTCCCATATATATTTTCGTCCGATTTTATGTAAATAGTGCACCAAAGTCCCCATATATCTTTCGATTTTGGGATAGCGTACTGATTTAAATCTAGAATGATGTGTGTAAAGTTTTGTGAAAATCGGTTCAGATTTACATACACTTATATATATTTCCGTCCGATTTTAAGTAAATGGTGCACTAACGATCCATAGCTAGGCCGATTGACACAACGTACTGAAGTTAATATAAATTAATCTTTGATAAGTTTCCTTGAAATCGGTTCAGATATAGATATAGCATAGCTTCCATATATAATTTTGACTTTAGGATACATATTCTGAATATACCCAAAGTGGTGAAGGGTATCATATAGTCGGCCCAGTCCGACTTTACTACTTTCCTTACTGGTTTTAGGTGGAAGATTTGACTTCCCAAACATTAAATTAGAGTCAATTCGGTTGTGAAACGTGTTTATGAGGGCTGAAATGGAATGATTTTAAAGACCTTTGCAATCCTGTGTTTGTAAATCCATATATTTGGCTATGTAAGAGTGTGTGGTAAATTACATAGCTTTTCTCAGACATTAAACACGATAAAAATATTACAATTCGAGTTGAGGTAAACGTTGTAACACCTTAAATATATTTCCTTATTTAATACTTATCAGCATAGTTGTATTGGGTAAAATTATAAAACAATATTTATAAGAATAATCTGCTCGGGAACAGAATTTAATATAAGTAAGTAGTAATACAAGCTATTAAACTACTCATAATGTACAATGTAACCCAAAATCTATATTTCCACGTAAAACTTTTTACATTTACGAAAAAATTTCAAATTAAATCACGTTGGTTGGAACAGTAATACACTTATGAGAACCTTCAACTCTAATAGTTATGTATCGCATACTAAGATAGAAGAGGAAACATTTAGAATCTTTCTGCGACTACACAGATCAGAAACAATTTTTTTTATAATTAAAATGCCGCTCGGAGTACGTGTTCCAAAAAATATACACAAAAAAAATCAAACCACATATTTTCATTTTTATTCGCTAAACATTGAATGATGAGCATGCGCAACGCCCCATTTTTTTCTCTGTTTGTTGTTGCTGTAATTGTGTATGTGTGTGTGTAAATATTTCTTAAAACCGCCACCTCTAGTGGTGTGGTACGATGGCTATGAGAACTAATAGAACCACTTGTTACGCTACACCATACAAATGTTACGTATACGACACAGTTGCATCAACTGCACTGCACTACACTATGGATACAGAGGTGCATCGAAGCTTTTTCCATTGAATTCTAAAAACAAGCTTTTTTCATTGACTGATTTACAGATCTGCCGGTATAGTTACTCTCCTGAGATGAGCACTCCATGGTTTTGTTTACTCTCCCTTTTTGTGCGATGTGGATGAGTTTTGTTGTCGATGTTTGTTAACTGTTGTTGGATGGATGATTTCGTGTCTAGATGCAACATATGTTGGTAGTGCTGTTGTTGTTATTGTCACTGCTGCCGCTGCTGCTGTTACCATTAGAAACAACAACAGGGCTTTGTTGTATACCTGTTGTAAAGCCTGGCTGCTGCACTTGACGTAATACATAGTTGTATAGCATTTTGCGAGAAGCGTCTCACCACCAACAGCATCGCATCGAAGGTAGTAGATAGGCATTGCAGCATTTTGGCTGCGATCCGTTCGTTGATGGTATAAAAACGTTTGCATTTTGCGAATAAACAACAAAGCATATCTGTCGAGTCTTAAGACGTGGTCGTGTAACTCAGCCAGCCAGTCAAGAAAACGCGTGTGTTCTTTAACATCGAAAATAAAACTAACAGCCAATAGAACACCTGCTGAATATCCTTAATAAGGACGATATAAAATTTCAATTGTTTTTATAGAAACTTTTTAAATAAAAAGTGAGTTACAATAATAACACTCTTAAAAAGAACTGTAAAAAAAATCCAAAAGATAATTACAAAAATCCCTAAACAAATATTCTAGATTTAAAAAGATTATTTAATAGTGTGCAATTGTGAGGGACATATATTGGAAGTGTATCAAGTAAATGCTAATGAGCTTGGTTTTGTACTTACAAAAGTGTTCCAAATATTTATCCACACTAATAACTATACAAATTCGTTTATACGTAGCAAATAAAGTGCATAACAATTTATGAGTTGGTTTACGTCTAAGTGTTTTGATGAAATCTGGCGGCGTGAACTGACACAGACATAAAAATAATTTCATATATAAACGAATCGTAGAAATGAGGCACAGGCTACAAAACATATTTTGAACAAATGGAACCCAATGGAAAATTAAGAAAACTAGAACGGAAACTATTAACCTCCCGAAATTATACTTAGTTAATAAATATCGAAAACATACTCTGAGACAAGTTCTTTTTCCGCTAGTTGGAAACATTTAAAAAATATATTACCACGTATATGCTGGTGCGAAGCAAGATTAAAATCAAGTCTTAAGAAGAATATAAATCCCAAGTTCAGCTTATCTTCAATGTCTATGCCTTTCCATACAAGAGACTTAACAGCATTGGAAAAAATTAACATAAAATCGGACGAAATTGAATAGGTGAACCTATATATAGCAATGTCAATCTGAAATCAAGCAAAATGTCATTGGTGTACCATTTGTAGGAAATCGAATAGCATTATGTATACGAATTATATGTATATCGGAAACGATTTGAAGGAAAATGTAAATTTTCAAGCGGTATTTCGAAGTACAGCAAAATAAAATCGGAAACAGATATATATGGAAGCTATATCTGTATCTTAAATATACTTGACAGCTATATTAAAATCTGAATCGACTTAAAGCGAATTTAACACACGTTATTCCAGACTTATTTCTGTAAACGCGTTAAGTTCGGCCGGGCCGAACATTGGATGCCCTCCACCATAGATATACTGACAGGTATTTGAAATAAAAATATAGGGAACGTACCAAAAAGTGTTATTATACCGACATTTGTACAAACCGATTATGGTCCTAATTATTGGTCGTAGACCCCATGTATCTTTGGACCAAATTTGTTTCAAATATTTTTGATTTCCTCTAAACTTTGCCCATCTTATTATTTCATCCAATATTAGTTCAAGTTCGAACATGGGGAATATCGGTCCACTCCTTCTGCTACCTCCCACGCAGGGGCTGGGCCTAAATGCGGGTTACAATTCATATATATGAATATATATAAGGTTAATTATCAAACCTTATGTTCTAGTTTTTTTCGTATCTTCCGCAGATGAAATGATTACAATAGAGTCTTAGAACCAAACCCAAACACGGAACAAATCATATAACTATTTTAATATAAAAATGGGGTATGGGAACGACCCCAAAAAGGGGGCGAATATTAAAATTTTTTGGTAGGGAGTTTTGTTGCCATATACGATAACAAAATTCCAAATTCCAACGCATTCGGTAGAAAAATGCGCTCAAGAACCCCAAAATACGAAAAAATGACCTATATTTATAATTTTTTGTGGAGAGATTTGGTACCTAATAAAAAATCTAAATACTAAATTACAGCCAATTCGGTGGAAAAGTACGATCAAAACCCCCAAAATACTGTAAATTATGAGGTACCGTTATATGGGGGCAACCAGAAATAGTGGACCTATATTTATAATTTTTTGTGGAGACATTTAGTACCCTATAAGAACTCAATGTACCAAAATTCAGCATACTGGGTTGAAAAACGCGCGCAAGAGCCCCAATATACCGAAAATTGGGGATACTGTTATATGGGAGCTATGTCTAAACGTGGACCGATATATCCCATCTTCGAACATGACTTGCCTGCAGACAAATGCAAAATTTCAGCTCCCTATCTCAATTCCTTCAGAAGATAGCGTGATTACAACAGACGGACGGACTGACATGGCTAGATCATATTAGAATTTTACCCTGATCAAGAATATATATACTTTATAGGGTCGGAAATGAATATTTCGATGAGTTACAAACGGAATGACAAAATGAATATACGCTCCATACTATGCATAGTATGTCAGTTGGTGTTGCCGACATACAATACCCTCAGCCTATAGATAACGGAGGTCTTCGGATTTAGTCCCAATTTGTATACCCCTACCACAGTGTGGTAAAAGGTATAAAAATTGGGGTTGTACATATGTTTGTAACAGGAAGCAGTAAACGAGATCGACACATGGTTCCCTTTGAGAATATGTATAGAATCACTTTCTGAGTCGATTTATGCATCTCCGTCTGTCCATGTTAAATTGTAAAGAAAGTACAGGCCACATTTATGATCCGAATTTGATAAAATTGAGGTCACTTATTTGGACCAAGGGCGAACCCTATTGAAATTGGAGAAAATCGATTCAGATTTAGATATAGCTCCCATATATATTTTCGTCCGATTTTTTGTGAATGATGTACCAAACTCCCAATATTTGTACTATTGAGACACCATTTTACACAACGTACTGAATTAGTTTCAGGTTGATGAGTGCGAAGTTTTGTTGAAATAAGTTCAGATTTAGATATAGCTCCCATATATAGTTTCCTCCAATATTTGTACGATTGAGGGAAAATTTTGCACAGCGTACTGAATTATGTCTGCGAAGTTTTGTTGAAATCGGTTCAGAATTAGTTACAGCTCTCATATATAATTTCGTATTTTTTTTTTTTTTGTAAGTAGTGCACCAAACTCCCAATATTTGCCGATTGAGATAAAATTTTGCATAGCGAATGCAATTGAGGCAAGAATGATGTGTGTTAGTGTTTGTTGAAATCGGGTCAGATTTAAATATAAGTCTCATATATATTTTCGTCTGATTTTATGTAAATGGTTCACCAAAGAGCCTATGTTTGTTCGATTTACACGAAATTTGTCACAGGACAAAACCAAATAGTGCATGCAACGATTACTCAATTAGATCCATGTGTTTATATTCAATTCGCTTAAACTTAAATTTAAAAGTTTAGAAAATATTGACCCTTTCGTGGGGAGGACCATAAGTATTATATGAAATGGATTTGGTCCAAAGAAACATGAGATCTAATTTTGTCGTTTCAAAATGTGTATAGCCTCATTAGCTATAAAGCTGAGGGTATAATAGACGAGCACTACAATCGAACCTTTGAACTTCTTTGCGACCCGTTCCGTCCTCTTACATTAATGGATTTGATATGAGATTAAATATCAGCCACCCCTCTTTCATACAACGACAAATTATCCCAATCACGTCTTCCCGGAGTAAACATATACATCATAAAATTCTCATTTGGTGATTTTTCACACAAAAGTCTTGGTGTATCTGAAACACACAACTAGTTGAGGTATGACGATCGGTATACGACCTTATAATACCCACACAACATACTTGTGTTAGGCATAATAATAAGACAACATGGCACGAGTCAGGCACCTCTGAAATAATTGTTTCCTACAATAATAATAGGAATTAATAACTATTATCTACACCCAACACTTGTACGCAGATATACACAAGAAGGTTTATCCATTTAATGACAGTTTTTTGACCTAATACTTACATTTATTGGAATATATACTTACTTCACTTAAAGATGCTAAAGTTGAATAGGTCAAAATGAATAGAATAGTGAATAATGTTACACATATTATTAGTATTCATTATATTGGATAAAACTTAAACTTGCATTGTCTACAAATACCAATTTTAACAGACCAACAATAATCATCATGTCCTCTAAATATAATAGAAAATCGTAAAACAATGTCATCCGATATATAAATCATATCTATTGGCCGAAGCTTGCTACTGTAACATGCAGGAAATGTTTTCAAGTCCTTCAAATTTCCCCATTAAGCAAATTATGTTCTTATGTTTAGAGACTACTCAAAATCCATAAATCCATTTTTAGCTTGTTGCTATTTCTTTTTTCACAACATGTAGATATCACAAAACAAACAAAAACAACATTGTGACAATTTCCAATAGATTGCGCTTCGTTACGTTACGATTCACTTTCGATTAGTAATGTTGTCAATTCTAATTGTAAACGTTGGCGCTAATAAATGTCATTCACTTAATTAATTCGCATGCAACGTTGGCTTCTTTATAGCCAAATGCAGCATTTGAGATCACATGGTTTCTTTGTGTGAACCACATATACGAATACTATGGAAATTCCGGGAATTTGCATATTTAATAGAATTGTTTTTCGAAATAAATTTCTTGTGACATTGCAGAACATCACTTGTACTTTCTGTTAGCTCTTAATTAATTTGTTTATAAATAACAACCGTTTAATTTATATGCACTCATAACATATTTGAATACAATTCCGAACAATTTGTAACATTTTCACTTTCAATAATTAACACAACCAATTGAAAACTCTGAAAATGTAACATAACGTCATTTGTGAAATTTATATGAAATTATAGTTAAACCTTGTAGAATATTACAAAGAATAATATATTAGATTTGATAAAGTTCATTGTTTTCTTAACTATATCTGAAAATTTCTTCTTATAGGCCATCATTGCCATTTTTGAACTATATCTGAAATTTTCTTATATGTGTAATGAACTTCCACTTCCAATGTATTTGCTTTAAAACTTTTCATCAGTATATGTTGGCGGGTTATTTGGGATACCATTTGTATGTCAATAGTCATTTTGAAATTTCATGATTAATGCAAATAATTTATAATATAAATGTCTTCTATTATCTTACAGATCATGAACTCCATTGTTTTTGTTGCGCTTTGTTGCTTAGCTGTGGTATCAGCACAAAGAGGTCTACCACCACGTCCAACATCATTCGAAGGAAATGCTGTCATTCTCAAGCAGGATTTCAATTTGAACCCCGATGGCTCGTACAATTACAAGTAAGTTATTTAGTGTTGAAAAAATATTTGATAAGTATTCGAATGTGATTCCTGCTATAAATGCCCAATAAAAAGCTAATAATTGGATCCTTAATATTGCATAACAAAATATATAAGATATTACTCACATGGCCTTGGCGAACAGGTTTATAAAAAGTTACATCACAAAATACAGAGCTTCTCAATAAGGGTGTGTAAGAAATACTCATCTGAAGTCTGATATAGCGAACAATTGGGCATCATTAACTCAAATATCGCAATTTTGGTTTATACCGGTCTTGCAGCAAATCAGCAATATGTGGATACTATGGATATTTTTGAATTAATGATGAAAATTCGAAAAATGCTTTTATTATTATTCAAAGTATTATTTAGCAAAAATTATATACTTTAAACCAATTTTCGAAGCACTTTCCACACTTCGATTTAGACACCTCAACAACATGGTTTTTCTACATTTCCATAGCATCTTCTGGTCATGAAAATAGTCTGGACTGTCAAACGGCGATTGTTTGAAGCGATTTTTAGTGGACAATTTTTCGTCTTCTATTGTTAATTTTTCGAATATACCCCAAGACTTCAGACAAACCAATTGTGGTATACCACTCAGTGTTACCACCATATGTTCCTCCATCGGAACAGTCCACCATATTTGACGGAAGAAACAGGCTGTAATTTGTTTGTCTTCAAAATACTGAAAAGTGGTGCTATATTCACACATGGACTTATATTGATAATTTTTCTATTCATACATGCATATAAGTCAGCCTTCCATGAGCCACATCTATGGATAAATGCGGGTTAAGTCTTTTAAATACCGAATGTATAATGGTATCGTTCTATGGGAGCTATACCCAATAGTAAACTGAAATTTTTTAGTAAGAAAATTTGATACGGTATAGGAATTTGAAAAATCAAATTAGAACTAATGAAAAACATGCCCAAACATGGGGCTGCTCGGAAAATTTGGTCAATCTTGATCATTTTTAGTAGAGATATAAAATCATTTTTAGTAGAGATATAAAATATAAAATTACAGCTAATTTGGTCAAGCACGTGTCCAAGCTATCCAAAATTCGGTAAGTGGCGTTATATAGTGGATTCCCTAAAAAATTAACCAATATTGATCATCTTTTGTAGGAAGAAAAATCAAATTGAAACCAATTCGGTAAAAAACGGGTCCATAACCCTCAAAATACTAAAAATGGAGTTTACCATCTTATGGGGTCTACACGAAAACATGGGCCAATGTTGATAATTTATCGTAGGGACATTTTTTAATCAATGACAATCCAAAATATTAAATTGTCCCATATTACTTGAAACACGTACTCAAGCACCCCAAAAATACTGATATTTGGGGTGTATCTTTATATGGCAGCTTCCCTAGAAAGTGGACCTATATTGATCATTTTAAGTAGGAATATTTACTACCATACCGTAACCTCAAAATAACAAATGACAACTAATTAGGTAGACACAAGTGCCCAAATCCATCAGAATACCGAATATTGTGGGAGGCCATTATTGATAATTTATTTTAGGCAGATTTGATAGCCGAACTGTTCAAAAACTCGTCTAAAATCCCCCATATGGGATGAATACTTCCATGTGTTGCAAACGGATGTCAAACTTAATATAGGCTTCATCTTATAGCAGAGGGTATAAAAACATATGAAATTACAGCTAATTCTAGTAAAATATAAAGTTCATCTTTGAACTTGGTCGGCATGCAAATTTAACAATTTCGATGCCAAGAATTTGATGCCAAAAAACATCTTTACCATGATTAAATTAAAAATCTGAATAGAATATTCAAAAATCATCCATCCACTTTAGAATTGTATACTAATTGCGAGGAGGGTCATATATATACTAGCATTCTGCATCCGTTGTATATAACTTTGATAGAGGAGTCGATTCCCAGAGCATAGCACTATCGGTCCACTATCAAAGAAGTTTCTGATATATTTTCTAATATAGTTCTCGTTATTCTCATTAGAGGAGGTCAAAACCCCAAATAGAATCGAACAAACCCTTATATATCAAAATATATATTTTTAATTAATGCTATTCAATAAATGCTAAACATTTTACAAAACTTCCCAATGATTAATATTCTTCATTCCCATTAATTTTTTTCCAGCTATGAAACAAGCAATGGAATTCGTGCTGATGAAGCTGGTTATCTTAAAAACGCGGGCAATCCCCAATTAGAAGCCCAGGTAAGTTGTGATTATTACGATCCTCACATAAAAACCCCACTTTCCCACAACTCAGTTGTAAACAACAACAAACATTTGTTTTGACAGTTTGTTTAAATAATGTATGCCCAAGTTGAATGGTTTATCTTTCGAAAATACCAAATTTGCATAATTATGTCATTTAAATGTCTATTTTATCTATGGGCGGTTACATCAAATGTCAAATAGGATTTATGAAGTTGTGTAAGGTATAAAGTTTGTTCGGTAAATTGGATTTTATTTTGAGCCACAAATCAAGTTTATCAAAGTTCGTTGTGTTAAATTATTTTCTGCAGCATATCTTAAGGCGTTAACTAAAAGGTTACCATTCTTAACGTTGCCACTTTATCATATTATATGAAGCGGCCAAAAAAGTATGGGGAATATTTTTAATATATACATATAATGTAAAGTCGAAATCGGTAATAACGATGGTCAAGAGACTGGCGAAATTGTATTCTTTATAACGATATGTCGTTATAAAGAATATAAAAATAAAGAAAACCGATATGTCGATATAAATGGTGTCGTTAAAAACGATTTCAACTGAGCATTTCTCTCCCATTTGCAATACTTTATTTTGCGATTTTAAACTGTGATGAAAAAAGGAGGCCAGGATTATCAAAATACCTTTATCAAATTATGTACCAATATTGAACTTTTTTATCCACCAAAAATTGAAATGCCAAATTAAATTTACTTCTACTGAAAAATGAGCCTAAGACCACACAAATACCTAAAATGAGGCGGGACCTTTATATGATGGCTATGTCGAAAGTTAGTCCTACACTGAACATTTTGTGAAAATATGTTTTTCATCTTCCAAATACCAGAATTTCCAAACGAATACATGACTATATCAGAACGCAATATCCCATTTTCAATACCAAACATTATTATTCCGATCACGAATTAATATGCTTTATGAGGTCTCCCACGGCCAACAGAAGTTGAAGGGCATAATTATTTTTTTATAGTTTGGTTTAAACTTTAACAATTTATACGTTTAATTCAATTAAAAAATCTACAAATTCCTTTTTAACGCAATTTTTAATTTTTATTCTTCATTATTTAATTATTTTCAGGTCATGCAAGGTTCTTATTCTTACACTGGTCCTGATGGTGTTGTCTATACCATTACCTATATTGCCGATGAGAATGGTTATCGTGCTGAAGGTGCTCACATTCCCACACCACCACCAGTGGCTGCTCCCGGTCCCCGAGGACGATTCTTTTAAGTAAATTTCCCAAATCCCCCAAAAAATCAGCAGAAATTTCTACAAAAGAATACCAATAAAGCCACGGAACATAAATGAGATTAATTCACTACATAAAACAAAATAGTTGTGTCCTACGATGTAAAAAAATAAAACTGCAATTTTCTTCAATTAAATATCACGCGAAGTGGCAACACTTGAGAGTAAAGCAAACACACACAATCATTAATAATACTCTTACTTCTCATCTTTTTTTTTTAATAGAAACCACAAACACAGACGATGCAACAAACATTTGCACAGACATACATACATATGTAATTAATACTCAACACTATAATATTTTAATAATCTATTATCAACACAGTTTTTACTATACTACTATACGATTAGCAGGAAAGGCATTTCCAGGATGTAACTATTCCCATCTCTATCTTTACCAACCACATGCTAAGCACTTGTTTCCACCACATTTAATTCATTAACTTCTTTCAATCTCTGTCTATTCCTCGACTACTCCTTCTATTGTTGACTATTTGCTTTTCAATGCTGAAAGTATTTTTTGTGATCATTTTCACCTGTCTCTATCGTTTCGTCTACTTTTCTCCCCTCCCCTATGTTTGTATATTTGTTTTTAATAATTTAACAATTTGTTTATTTTTCCATTCTCTTTCATAATTTTATTGTATATTTTTGTTTTTGCTATTCTTTTAGTTAATAAACAATTTATGTAAACGAAATCTGTTTTGTTTGTAGAAATTAAAAAAAAAACATTTGTTTAAATTATTTTTCTTGTATAATTTCGAAATAAGTTTGTTTTTTTTACACAAGCAATATGGCAACTACGCAATAAATAAACTTGCGATAAAGAAAAACTTATAAAATGTTTTTTCCATTGAATTTACTTAAATGCAAAAAGCTCTTCTATGATAACTAGAGTTGGGCAGTGGGTGAATACCCAAAGGGTAAATACCCGGTAAATTGGGTAAATACCCATTTGTGGGTATTTATTTCGGTATTTACTGTATTGAATAGGTAATACAACATCTTACACCCTATTTTTGGGTTTCTGTTATCAAATCAATTTAGAATGGACAATTTTACAATATTAAAGTATTGTAAACGTGGGTAAATACCCGAGTTTTTACCCAAAAATTGGGTATAAACTCATTAACTGCGGAACCACTTGCATAGGCGGCCCAAATTTTGCATACATGTTTTTAATGTCAAAGCAAATATAGAAATCCAAAATGGGTGCAAGTTTTGATATAGCCCCCATATAACAGTATCTGTCGATTTAAGGTATTTTTTGTCTATTAGACACATTTTACAACCAAATTGGCTGTAATTTGGCACATAGTGTTCTTTTTGGGTACCAAATGTCCATGCAAAAATTTATGTATGTAGGTCCACGTTTACTGGTAGCCCCCATACAAAGGTACCCTTATTTTGAGTATTTACCCAAAAATTGAGTATAAACTCATTAACTGCCGAACCACTTGACATAGGCGGCCAAAATTTGGCTCAGATGGTTTTAATGTCAAAGCAAATATAGAAATCCAATGAAGACCCCTATAGATTTTGGTAAAGATCGGTTAAGATTTAGAGGATTAAATGGACCAAATACTTAAATTTGAGAAGTTGATAATATATCCAAGAGTAGTGGTTGACCTTTAAATTGAAACCAATTATATCGTCGTATGTTCTCGGATGTGGAAATTACACCTTAATGTTTACAGGAGCTAGAGGTCGGAAATATAGCGCTGATCGATTTGAAATATTTCATGAGGTTCCAGTTATGGTCAAGGACAACGTCTATAATTTTCGGTGATTATCAGATAAAAATATTGGAAATCTAATTTGTTGTGTTTTTTTTTTCGAGCCGATATATAGACCACAATTGAAAGCCGAACATCACAACACAACCCACGGGAATCTGGAAAAGTTATTAGAAGGGTGCAAATATCGCGAAATATTGCCCAAGCTCAGAACATAGAACCACAGAATGTTAGACTTTCGTGGAAGTTGTTTAGGGTATCATATGGCCGGCCCCATCCGACTATACTGCTCCGCTACTGTTTTTTTTTTTCTGCGAAATCTATCAGTACAGACATCTGCCGAAAAAATAATGAATTTCTTTTTCCCCAACCTTATAATATATCATTGTAGGTCACGTAAATTGTACGTTAGGTAAACCCTGGTATTTGTATATGCTCGCATTAACACTACAAAAAAGTGTGAAATGTCCATGTTGTAGTAGTTGTATAGTAATTATTAAATAAATCACTGTTTTCTGTAATGGTTGTAATTTTTGCTTTCTTGAAACACAATTTTTTCGCAAAGTAACAACAATTCAAAAATTGTGTCAATACTTTGTATCAATTTTACACGATCGAATACCTCCATCTGTTACCTCCTCCACAAAATGACATTAAAAAAATAGTGTTGTATCTGAATTTATCCTATCCCAGTTTCTGGCTTTTTCCAGATGATAAAACGATTTATAATAAAAATGCACACTACTCACTTCAAATCATTTCAGAATTTTTAGAGTCTACAAACAAAATATTTTCAAATTTCAATATGCTAATTTTTAAAATGCAGTAAAAAGTGTATTCCCGTTGATCGTACTATGCTCATATTTGTATGGATGGTGTTTATTCACGCCTTTGTTATTCAGGCAAATTTAAAAAAAAACGGTATCTTAAGATAAACGCATATTACATGTTCAGAAATTTTGAGGTATATTTACTATTTATGCTATAAGTCCGCATCCACGCGGAATTTTTAAAGTTTATAGAGCTTATGTTATGTACACCGTATATCGAGACAGGCCCTGAAGTCTCGATATACGGTGTACATCTCTTTAAGATCTGTTCAGCGGTTTTGGCGTCTATAGGCCCTTCGCTCCCCTGATAAAGTAATCAAGCATATACCAATGATCAATTAATACGCAACCTAAATGCTGCAATATATACTAATTTTAATTTTTAAATTAGGAAAACTCTGGACATTTATATGCTCGCATTAACACTACATATTGGCATTTTTTGTTTTCTTTTTTAAAGTCAAACACACCGTTAATAATTTTTATCAATTTTACACAATTGTTATGTCCATGGAAACAGATAATGACACGTAATAACCAAAATTGCTATTTTGCACATCTTATTATCGATCACATCCATCTGTTACTTCCCCACAAAATGGTATTTATTATAATCCATATATTTTTGTAATCCAAGTAACATTTTTTTATATAAATATTAGCTGGACCCGTGGCGCTTCGCTGCCTCTACTAAAGTGATTACCATAGGAAAACTATTTGTATGCAGTTTAATAGCTAATATTTATAAATATGCACGATATAGGTATTTTAGTAGCACCAAATTCGAACATTACTGTTCGACTATAGATAGTGTAATACCAGTAATAATATCGTAACAGCTGGTTAATGTATAATTTATTTGATTCGATTCAATAGAAATATATTTTTAAATAATGATGATATTAATAAAAATTTAGCGTGACTTGTCTCCGTAGGATTATACACTAATATATTTTCTCCAATATTCACATGTTTTTCATTAATCATCAAAAATCATTCATTCCCATTACCACCAACCTTTATGTCTGTATTCTCATATGATTCCCCGTTATATGGCTGGGACCCCTTCCACGCTCCGATTAATTTCCTTTAAATCCCTGCTATATAATCCTTACTATGATTGAATTTGTTATTTTGTTTCATTGCCCAAAAAAGTTTTCAAAGGACTGCATTATCACATTATACATTTTTACAGAACCTAAATTTAGCATTTGTCTTAATTGCACATACCTTAGAAAGATAGAATTTGTGGCAACTGAGATAGTCGTTTCCTTTATATATCATCGAAATATTAGTTTTAGCCATATCCGTTTGATCAACTAAACATAATTTCTCAAGTAATAGGCACATTTTCTTTTATGTCATCTATGATGACAATCCACCACAGATTTCGGATTTTTATAACTTTTAATCCATAGTACTTATCATTCCATTGCATACGTTTGTTCAATTCATAGTCGGTTTTTTTCAATAGTGGTAGAATGTTTGAAATTAAAAATAGTTTCAAAATAGAAATGTTATTTTTTCACAAACTGACAAAATGTAAAAAATTATTATGTCAATAATTTTTCATTTTACACAAATTTTATTCCAATATGTGATAATAATGGAGAGATGAAAAATATCAAACATTAGCGGAATTACTGAACTGGTGGTAATTATCATTGCTGATAATGATAAAAGGAACAAAAGTTATAAATCCAAAATTCCTGGTTTGGAACAATTTTTTACATCCTGGTCATTTAAGATGGATTATCTGAATATCATACATACTTTTATAAATTAATTTATTCAAGATATTCAGATATACATATGTATAGAAAATAGATATTAGTTCAGAGGTATGATTACTTTTGATGCTAAAACTACGCATCAATTCGGAACTTTGGACGTTTATCTAGTTTGTCTACCATGGGATGGCATTACTTACTGCGAAAATTTCAGAAAAATCTGTTCAGCGGTTTTTGTGTCTACAGCAAAAAGAATTTCCATTTTCTATATGTAGATTAATTAAATGCAATGGGGAGTACATTTCTCCCATTGTACCACGCCAAATTGTATAGATATGAAGTTTATTTGCAACCATGTTACTCAGACAAATTCTGAAGTGGGAATCTCTAAACCTTTTTAAGATATAAGCTTAGAAAATGAATGTTACTTCGGAGATACAATTACTTTATATAGCCTATGTTATTTCCCTCGGATGGCATGACATGCGGTGAAAATCTCAGTAAAATCTCTTTAACGGTTTTGAGTCTAGAAACCAAACATTTTTTATTTCCTACATGTAAATTATGTATGTATGTGCAAAGGGGAGTGCGTTTATTCCTAATCGTACCACGCCCATTTTTGTATGAATGATGTGTATTTATACCTACATTATTCAGACAAATTTTGAAGACGGTGCCTCTAGCCGTTCTTAAGATATATGCATATTACATGTTCCGAAATTTTGAGGTATGTTTACTATTGATGCTATAACTCTGTATCCACGCGG